AAATGCTATCGATACCATGCAAAAATATATTTTGCATTTAAAAAAAAATTATTTTCAATCATATTTAATTAAAATAGTGTTTTAATTTAGAACATACATTGAAAAATAAGATATTAAAAAACTAGAGCTTTACGGATATTATAACTTTTTGTTTGATGCTTTTACAAACTTTAAATGCGTTTTTCTCAGACTTTCAATTTTGAAGGTGTGTTTGTTAATCCTTAAGGCTTTTTTTCTGTTCATCATAGAGCCTTGAAAGTTTTTGCATGTACTCCCAAACGTATGTTCTATAAAAAGTATGGATTTAATGCTGAGATCTCTGTTATTTTTTTACAAAATACTGAAGTTACTATTTTAAAAATTTGTGCTTTTTTGAGGTTTTTCTAAAAAATTAATTACCGTAAAATCCAGCGTGTAACGCGCATCGGTGTATATATAGCGCACACCTATACTTCCAAACTGAATTATTTAATTTTTAGGAATATTCGCCGTATAACGCGCACCCCCTTTTTTACGAAGAAATCTGAAATATTAACATACATTGATTTTATGTTTTGAAGTCATTTATTCGAGGTATTATCCCAGACTCTTAAAAAAAATATTATACTTCGTAAACTAAAACTCTTTTAGTTCATAAGGCAAGTAATTTATTTTAAGTAAACAGTATTTTGAGACATACAGAAGTAATTTTTTTTTTATTTTCATCTCTTTTGTTATTCTTAAAGCTATCGTTTTTAAGCCCTGCGTATAACGAGCACCCTTAAGTTTTGATTTTATTTTTTGTGTTAAAAGTGCGCGCTGTACGCTGGATTTTACGGTATAAAATATCAACAAGGGTAAAAATTTTCAAATACATGCTAACTTTTGTTTGAATAATCTAAGAAACATAAATAACTGAAAATTACTAAAAAATTTTAAAAAGGTGATCATTTTATAAAAGTTTGAAAAAACTTCAAAAATTCTTAATTTTTTAAAATTGTAAAACAATGGTAGGTCAAACCGACTTTTTATTTTCAGAATCAAATTAATAATATAATCTAAATGTAAAATATAAATTATTTTTACTGTTAGTGTCTCCAGATACATTTATTGAAAAAGGGTACTGTGTAGTCTTACTAATCGTAATTAGAACTGTTAAATTTTTTCTACACTAAGAGATGAATGATATGGACTTGAATGTTGTCCCTCTAATATTTTGGTTTTAATGCGTTACGTTTAAAGACGTAGGTATATATTTTTTTCGAATCACATAAATGTGTTTAAGTGCATCAACTTAATATATACACAGTATTGTGCCTACTTTTACAAGTTTCATTATGTTCTGTTTTAATTTCTGTACTCAGACAACCGACTTCATACCATTCGTCTTTTATTTAATGCTGGTGACTCGCTTAAATATTTTAATACTCGGAAATATCGGTCTCGACTTCAACACACACGCACATATTCAAGAGTACATTATAGTATTAATATATTATGTATTCACACAGAATACACTTCGAGTATCTGTGAAATGATTTTTTTATAAAAAATTAACTTATGCTATATATATATATATTATTTCTCCGGTTTTGTCTAAAATGTATCAAATTAAAAACCATTTGCTTTCAATATGTTGAACGAACACATTTACAAAATGAAATTAATAAAAAACAATTTATCACTATTCATAAGCAAAAGAAAATTGCTATTCATATTTTTTGGACAAGATTATTTGGCCAAGATAAAAAAGCAAAAAAAGAGTGAAACCCCCAAAATTGATAGGTCAAGTGTCATCCTCAATTCATTAACTAGGTTAAAAATTACGATGTCCGTCTATAATAAGCTAAAGTAATGGGAAATAAATTAAAATCCAAATTTAATATAAAAACAACCAGCAATCACACTACACTTCACGAGTTTTAATCAAACTCAAGAATTCTAATAGCAAATAATCAAAACCAATCTTTACACTTACAACTGCAGAACTTCTTCATACAATTATAATCTCAACGTTCTCTAAGGTTCCACATCAAATCCTTTTAAATTACAAACCTAATCTGCATCTATCATGGCATCTTTACAAGGCAAGGTTCTCAAATTAATATAACAATCCATAAAATAGATTTCCCTAGACGTTCATAGAAAACGCGTTGAGAACCCGCCATACATTAATTTAAGTAAAAAAAAAAATCGCCAAATTAACTTTTTATTAGAATATAAATTAACAGGATGGGGGGTGTACTAAAAACTTTATAATTACACGAGCGTGTACAAAATGTCCCTTTTTACTATTCAATTTATAACTGCCAAGTAGGAGGTAAGGATATTTTGTTTAATTAATTTTCTACAATTCGAGATTTTATGTTATTTTTTCAAACTATGCATTGATGAATGCATAAACATTTTGTAATTAGTTTTGAAGAGACAGTTTGAAAAAAATCACCACTCTAAGATTATCCCATTTTATAAAGTAAAATATAGAGGAATTTTTTAAAATTTGAACATAGACCAACACAAAAAAATTAATCCCACTTACTTCAAAAAGTTAAATTTTGTAAGGTATTGCTATTTCTTTGTATAGAAATAGTTGACCAAAACTTTGTTTACTTTGAAATTACTTCGAATAATACTTTACTCAAACTATACTAACTATATGACAAGGCAATACAAAAGTCTTGTAAGAACAGATGAGAAAAATTCTGGCAAAAAATATTTGCACGGTGCTCTGTAACGAAATCTAATCTAGAGCATATTTACATTACTGAAAAATTTCTCGTTCTGCAGTAAACAAAATTTCAAGTGATATATGATTTCGTTGCCTTTTTTATTTTTCATCATAGAATACTGTTTTCAGCAGTGAAGTTAACTATAAAAATACAGAAATGTGAATTTCAACTTCAAATATAAAAATATCTTGTATAGAATTGTATGAAATTTTTGATTCCTTTCATACTTTAATGTATTTATCAATATGATTTGAAAGTGAAATCTGAGATATACTCATCCAGTTAGGTTATACACTGCCTAAAAGAAATAGAAAGAAACAGTTTTACAATTATAGGAAGAGTTTATTTTTTAAACTTATAATGAAAGTTTAAGTAAAAAAAACTTGCTTGACGCGTAGAATTTATATTTATTTCTGAAATTCCAATCATTCCGTTTAAATTAATGTTTTTAATATTTAGTGTCAAATGAATTAGTATAACAGATAAAATTGTCTTAAGAATATTTTTAAAATAAAAATTATTTAATAGCAATTTATTGACAAAAAATGGAGAAAATAAATTACATATTTTACAAATTTTTCTCCTTTTATGGAAAATGCTTCTATAATAATATTTTACCTATATATATATATATATATATATATATATATATATATATATATGCATACTGTGAAATTCAATTAACGCGAAAATGCTTGAAATATTGGTTAACACGAAATAATATATTGGTCATGACAAACTGCTATGTATTTTCATGTATTATTTTCTCTTAACACGAAGAGATTTCCATTTTCAAAATGGAAAATTTTGCGAAAATAAAAAACCACACAGGCGAGATTTAAGAGGGGCGACACATATTTAATGAAATGTTTGAAAACATTTCAAAATTATTGGACTGTTCTCATCTTAAGAATTCCACGTAGTAACAACGTGTTCAGCCTCAATTATGGCAAAGAAATTTTGGACTCTGTTTAAGGCTTAAAAAGATATAATTGAGGCATATTCCGACGACGAAAATGAAATGACTAATGCAGCTCCTGTTTCCACGTCTGAAATGAAGAACATCCTGAAAAGCATGCTCAGTTATTTTGACGCACAATCTAACGGAGAAATCAATAACAAAATGGATAAGAGAGTGGTGAATATTAACGTCGTACTATTCAGCTACTCGAGGGCTTTCGGCGACGAACCTAGTAATTTTGAAACAATGTCAAGTGACGAGGACGATACCTGAGCTGGCATCCCCTCTCTTATCTTACACGCCACACTAATGGTAGGATCTTTGAGACGACGTATTTAATGTGCATCGGCTTCCTCTGCACGGCGCGTCTTCAGTGATACCAGGCTCGAGCTCTTGATACGCCAGTCACGAGTCCGTTAGCTTGACCACTAGGCTACCACGGTCACAACAAAATGGACGACATCGAACGATTTGTTCACAATTTGACTCTAAATAAGACGATGGAAAGAAAAGTATTAGATTATTTTCCAAAAAGGCAATAAATGTTTTGTTTTTCAAAAAAACTTGAAAAGTTTGTAAAAAATTTCATTAAGTTCTTATGAATGTTTTTGTTTCATATATTTTTATTGAATGCATGCATATATACTCGAATAAACTCAATTTTGTTAATATATATATTTTTTTCTTTGTTTTTAATATCCTTCAATACGAAATTCTTTGAAGCGCAAAAAATATTCCAGTCCCCCTAAGTTTCGCGTTAAACGATTTTAATTGTATAAGATTTTCACTGAGCAATATATATTATTTTCGAAATATGTAATTTAGAAGTGGATTTATTTACGCATACACACGTATTGTAATATATCCGAATAGAGAAAGTGTAATATTTAAAACCGTTTATTATTTCATTATTAAAATAATATTTGAACGTACTTTGAAATTAATACGAAGTTTTAAAAATCCTAATTCAAGCTCTCTAGGGAAGGGGAATGGTACTTAACTTATTTTTTCTTTTAATAATATTCTTTATAGTATCCGAACACGTTGAAATGACCAAATTCGGTCAAAACACATATTTTGTTTCTTATTTTACTGAAAAGAGCTTTCTTTTTAGCTTTACAAAAAATACTTTTTTTGAAGTTATACTTCTTTTGGGGCGTTAGAGAAATAGGATGAGGGTAAATTTTTACAATGCGCGCGCACACCGTCACGGATGTGACGCAAAACCGTCACGGAGGCTAAAATCCTTTGTCTAGAAATATACAGAACGGGACAAATCATTCTCGCCTTCGAAATTCTCTGAAAAAAATTTCTCTTCACTTCCCTGAAGAAGGGGACACCCGGGTTTGAACCAGAGACCTCTTGATCTACAGCCAAACGCTCTACCACTGAGCTATACACCCTTTGTCAGAGAGCCTTTCCTTTGCGTTCCGTAGGAATGGATACGAAAATGCTTTGATTAGAAATATGCAGAACGAGACAGATCATTTCCGCCTTCGAATTTCTCAGAAAAATATTTATGTTCACTTCCCTGAAGAAGTGAGCATCCGGGTTTGAACCGGGGACCTCTCGATCTGCAGTTGAATGCTGTACCCCCCTGAGCTACACCCCCTCGGCAGCGAGCGTTTGCTTTGCGTTCCGTAGTAAAGGATACAAAAATGCTTTGTCTAGAAATATGCAGAACGGGACAGATTATTCAAGCCCTCGACCCCTCCCCATATTATTGGTCCTATTGTCCCTGTGCGTGGGTGTTTATATTTATGTAAATCGTGATTATCTCAGGTTTGGGCTGGTCCAATTGATACTGAAGGTTAGTATCGTTCAACTCTGCTAGTGACCGCCTTTCGTCCTTGGCCCAGCTTGCCCTGATGAAGAGTTTTAGAAAGATTTTAATCTTGTTACGCCAAGGAAGTATAACTTCTTACGTGCTTACATAAGTACACACACACTATTTTTTGCTTTTACGTTAGGCAGGGGCCAAGTTACAATCAATTTTATGAAATCAGAAACACCAGAAGTGGGCATTTAAATTTGTTAAAAATTTATCATGACGAATTTGTTAACTCTCAAATTATGTCAAATGTTTTTCCATAAAATTTTTCGAACTTGATATTTACATTATTTTCTAGAGAATGTACTGTTATTGTAAGTATTTTCTGAGTTCTAGCCTGTTATTTAAGTAATGGTCTCATAAAGAATGTCACATTTCATAAAATATTTTTACTTGAGTAGCTCTAACATTTTAAAACTTAAATAACACATTAAGAAATTTTAGTCCATTCTCTAGATAAACACATCTATTTTGTTGTAGTTATACTTTTCCTTTAATTGCTTTGCGTTTTTCAATAACAATGTTAAAATTTCAGTTACAAGCATAATTTTTGTTGAATTTGGGTAACTTTTTTAAATGTATTGCTTATTTTAAATATTAGTATTTATTGGTATTGATTTAATTAGTGACACAAAATATATTTTAAAAATTATTCATTTATACGCTTTTGCAAAATCACGGATCCGAACATATTAGAATTTCTAAACTTGCGAATGATTTTGCCTATTCCACACTTTATCTTTTAGACATATAGTAGATTAGTGAAAGAAAAGTCGTGGTTTTAGTCCCATTATTTAAAAATCACCAAATGATATAAAGTAAGTATACTTTTTAGTTCAGTCATTAGTGTCATCACGTGGTTGTGGGTTTAATTTGCATTATTCGAAAGTAAACTTTCAGCTCAATGCTCTTGACCTTTCCAATTCTACAAATCGAAACATTTTTAAAACAAATCTAGTCACTTCTACTCGTAAAGTGCTAATTAATTTATATATTAATAAAGAAATTAGCTTAGTTCTGCTTAAATTATTCTATTATTAGTGAAATATAAAAATTTAATATAGATAATGAAATTAATTTGTTAAGTACGAAATTAATTCAATGTACATTAGATTAGTATATGATAAGAGTAATTAATTAATCATAAGATGAACTAATTTATTGAACATGTAATTAGTTCGTTATTAAATAACTACATTTATTAATCATGAAATCATAAACATAATTACATCAATCTGTCTATAAATCATGATATTATTCTATTATTAAATAAATATATCTATTTACAATAAAATTAATTTGTTTCGAAAGAAACCAATGAATTGACTAAAAAAACATCTTCCCCCCCAATTAAAAATCTATGAATCTAAATCATTTTTTAGAATAACATTCCAATCATTGGGAACGCTAGCGTAGAGGCTATGATCACAGACCCGTAGTCATAAAGTTAATCATAGTGCGAAAGAAGATGACAGGATGCACGTTAAATCTGTTGAAGCTCAATAAATCCTCCCTTTGATGTGGTGTGGGAGTCGGGAGAGTGGGTTTGCCAGCTAAGGTGTTGCCCTTGTCACTTGGCCATGGTTCAAAATTACGAGGCCCGTCGCCAATTGCCCTCGTGTTGTTTTATAGAGTGACGTTAATAAAAACTCACTCTTTCGATAAAAGGTTTCTTTTTAACATAAAATACAGTGAAATACGTTTAACACGAAAACGCTTAAGGCGAAACATCTGTGAACACTAAATAATACAACAGTCCCGACTAACTGCAATGTATTTTCATACCTGTTTCCTCTTAACACGAAATGAAAATCGCTTAACATGGAAAAGATTTCCCTTTTGAAGAAGGAAGAAATTGAAACTGAGCCGACACTTAATGAAATTTTTGAGAAAGTTTCTGTATTACTGGACTGTCCTATTGTATCATCCGAAGAATTCGTTCCAGGAAATGATGATACCGTATGTACAGCCACAATTATGGCAGACATTTTGGAGTTTGATGAAAGTTAAAAAGATATCATTGACACAGATTCCGAAGAGAAATTAAATAAATAATGAAGCTCCTGCTTCCACGTTATCCGAAACGAGGAACATCAAGAAAAGAATCCGCATCTATTTAGACACACATTCCAATGGGGAAAGGAATAACAAAATAGATGACATCGAGCAGCTTGTTGTCAATTTGACGCTGAAAATGGTAGTGCAAAGAAAAATACCAGATTATTTTCTAAATACTCAATAAATGTCTTGTTTTTCAAAAAAAAAAATTGTGTATTACACTCTATAACATAACACCAACGCTCCAAGAATGAGTTGTCCGATAGAGACAAAAATTAGTGTGTAGAAAGATTATGTACATAATAAACAATGATTTTTTAAAAATTTTCAGAAAAATTGAATGAATAAGTTCAGAGTTATATAGGTACACAAAATAAAGAAGCTCAATAAGGTGTTGACCCACCTCTAACCTGGATGCAAGCTGTCACATGACATGGCGTAGAGTGGTAGAGCATCCTGATGGTCTCCTGCGGTATTTCTTGCCAAATTTGTTTCAATTGTAGGGCCAGGTCATCAACATTACCTTGAAGTTGCAGTTGTCTTCCCATCATATCTCAGACATGCTCGATTGGACAGAGATCTGGCTGGCCAAGACAGTTCATGGCAACACGTAACGTATTTGGCCTGGCATTATCTTGCTGAAAAATAAGAGTACTGCAAAAAGGAATTGTAACAAAATAGTTCTCAGAATGTCGTCGACGAACTGTTGTGCTGTAAGTATGCCTCTAATGATGACCATAGGGTCCGGCTATCAAAAGAAATAGCACCCCAGACCGTAAATCCTAGTTGAGGGCCTGTGTGGCGTGCAATATTGAAAGCATGATCGGCATGTTGCCCTGGGAGTCTCCGGACAAGCCTTTGATGATCGTCAGGCCACAGTTGGAAGCGGGAATCTTCTCTAAACACTATACATCCCCAGTCAGCATGATTCCAATCTTATCGAGCCAAGCACCATTGTAATCTGGCTTGACAGTGTGCAGGCGTGAGTGGCAGATGGCGTAGTGGTCGGTACAAGCTAAGTTTCACTCTATCAGCCGTATGTGAAAGGTCATGGCGGACACTCGTGTGGGGATTGCATGTCTGATGGTTGATAATGATGAATCAGGCGAAGTGACAGCTTATCTGACAATCAATCAGTCCTCCCGATCTGCTATGACTCTAGGTTAACCGCTACCATCATGAAGCTGAAATATTCCACTGTGCACTCTTTTGGGGTCTTCAGTGCCATCATCTCTTCAACCCTTTGGGGTGGTTCTCGTTCCCCAAACCGCCTTTTCCAACCCAATGATTCGCCTTTTTCAAACTCAGACAATTGCTCGAAAGAACTTGAATTCTGCGGCGAGGCATTTTTCAATCTTTGGGAAGGGTATCCCAAATCAAATGCAACAGAAATTTTGACCATACGATTGAAATCGCTTTTATAAAACCCCTTTTTTGAGTGCGCAGTTGGATGCGCTGACTCCCGTATTCTTTAAAAAGGAAACCCGGGGACGTTCTCGATGACATAAAATGGAAAATTTGGCTTTCAAAAGCTTTTACAAAAAAAAAACTCCATAAATAAAAAATTTGTGTCCTCTATATTTTTTTCTTAATATACTACAACATAAAATTATTAAATATATAAAATATTTTAAAAATAAAAGGATTCAAAAAAGTACACCCCAAAAAAATTTTTTCGGTCATGGTGCCTTTGGTACATGTATCTTTTTTTTTATTATCACCACAAAACATGCTGTTTTGTTAAAAAATTATTTATTTAAATGTAATGTTCTTTTTATTTCCTTGCAAAATTTTTTTTTAAAAAATTTTGAATTTTGACTTTTTGAAATTTTGAAAAAAATGGCTTTTTTTTTTAGAAATTGAGCAATAAAAGAAAAAAATATTAACATTTCAGAAATAAAATTAGTAGCATTAAATGCATTATCATGACAAAAAAGCTCATACCAAGTTTCATTAAAATATAACAAATAGTTTTTCTAAAATGTACCTAAAAACTAAAAAAAACACATTTTAAAAAATTAAAAAACTAAATAAAATGTCACTTACCTAAGATTTGTTTTTTTAAAATTAAACACTGTACTCATCTTGCATTGACTGTTCTAAAGCACCCTGCTTCATTTTAATTTGCCTTTTATTGTTTTGGTTTTTTGGTAGCTCTTAGAAAAAACCACTCAGCTTCACAAATTCTGACGTAGTAAATTTTTAAAAGGGCCTTTCAAATGTTGATGCCTGGATTGTTTTTTAATCTTTCAATATTCTGCCCTTTGCGTATGCCCTTCATTGAAGCATATAACTGCATCCAAAACCCATTTGCAAAGAGTTTTTTTGCTCAAAAATTTTTTTTCCCAAGATTCCACAAAAGTTATTAAAGTTTTTCTTTGGGGTTCTGACCATGCAAGCTTTTAATAACAGTTCTTTTGCAGTTGTCTCAAAAAAATTTTAAAAAATTTTAAGGAAAGGGAATGTTTTGGGTGTATTTTCACGATACAATGTTTTTTATTTACCCACCAACTTTTCCCTATGGGGCACAAAGCATGTTGCGGATTTTATCTGTCAAGTTTAGGGAAATATATTGCCCCAGGGATTTGGACATTTTGGACGTTTTAACTTTTTTATTGGGCCATAATATTTTTTAGGGAAAATTTCTGCATCTTACCCCTCATTCAGATATTGGTTTGTTCTCTGACAGTTGGTGGATTTAAATTGTTCTTTAGGGCTCTCAG